GCGTGTGCATGTGCGTGCGTGCAAAGCATGTTTCCACCCACTAAACGAGCCTGCGCTGATCTGGAAAAGATCGATAATGAGAATGAGGCCTGAACTTCTCAAACACACTCCCAGTATGAATCATCTGAGCTCAGACACACACACGAGAATCAGAGACGCAGAGCGGCCCACATTATCAGTGACGCGCTCACATCATGTCAGGAACAATCCTCCATTATTCTCCAGCATTAGAAACACAATCTCATACATTTATGACCCATAAACAGACTGTATTTCTCACGTTTCCACATGATTATTTAGTGCCAGACCCAAATGATTTATTTCGGGTGTCTGCAGTATCTTTCAGATTATTATTATTTGAAATTACATTATCTTTTTTCTGCTTCTACTACTCTTCTGGAAGCACACGATTATTTAGTGCCGGACACATATTTCAGATGTTTATTTATTTAAAAATGTTAGTTATTAGTTTAATCTATTAATTGTTACATTGTCCTATTCTACTTACTTTAGGACTGCTCTTATTTATTTATTTGATTGTCTATTTATTTTTAATCTCATTTTTATTGTTTTATTGTAATTTGTTTCCCTTTGTAAGCACACAATTATTTAGTGCCAGACACAAAACCCTGATTTATTTCAGATTTTTCTGTCTGCAGTATCTTTCAGATTATTTTATTTTATTTGTTTGTTTGTTTACTTACAATTTTTAGTTTCTATTTCATTGTTACATTAACTTTTTCTACTTTAGGACTGTTCTATTTATTTATTTATTTATTTACATACATTTTTATTGTTTTATTGTAATATGTTTCCCCCTTTAAGCATATGATTATTTAGTGGCAAATGCTAAATCCTGATTTATTTCAGATGTTTATTTAAAATATTTAGTTTCTGTTAATTGTTACATTATCTTTTTCTACTTACTTTAGGACTGTTCTTCTTTATTTATTCATCTATTTATTTATTTTAATCTACTTATAATATGTTTCTCCATGTAATGAGAGACAAAATCCTGCTTATTTTTTTAAAAAGAGCTTGTTTTATGCTCTTTTTCCTTCGGAGACTCTTTAAATGTCACAGATGAAGTGGGCAGGAAGACAGTGCGATGAAAGCATCTATCCCAGCATGCAGTGCGGCTCAGGCAGATCAATAACAGCATCCATCTGAGCTAAAGCCAGCAGAAGTACAGCAGTTTCCCGGCGTCTGAATCATGTTGTTTAGAGTTTGTTTCGTGTTTTCAGTCTGACCTCGAGCCAGAACACCTTCAGAGACTCTATGAATATTTGATGAAGTGAAGGTTTGGTGCTGATCTCTGCTGATCTGTGTTGTTCTCCAGGTTTATACCACAAACAGCCCCAATGGAACCACTGGAAAGACGTTTAAGGTTCACCTGCAGCTCTGGGACACAGCGGGACAGGAGAGGTGCGCTCTTCTCTTCATAGTCATGATCACATTCTCATAGTCTCCTGCTTTCCCAGTATCAGCTCCATCTGCGTCCTCTGGACCAGGGCTTTCCAATCTTATCCCAAATGTGACCCTGGACCACAAAACCAGTCATAAGGGTCAATCTTTGGAAATTGAGATTTATACATCATCTGAAAGCTGAATAAATAATCTTTCCATTGATGTATGGTTTGTTAGGATAGGACAATATTTGAAAATCTGGAATCTGAGGGTGCAAAAAATCAAAATATTGAGAAAATCATCTTTAAAGTTGTCCAAATTAAGTTCTTAGCAATGCATATTACTAAACAAAAATTAATTTTTAATATATTTACGGTAGGAAATTTACTAAATATCTTCATGGAACATGATCTTTACTTAATATCCTAATGATGTTTGGCATAAAAGAAAAATCAACTATTTTGACCAGTACAGTGTATTTTTGGCTATTGCTACAAATATACCCCAGCGACTTAACACTGCTTTTGTGCTCCAGGGTCACATATGTGATCAACCACATGCCGTGGACCCTCATTTTAAAATGAAGAGTTCATTTGCAAAAACAGATAACGATTTTTGAACATAATGTGAACATAACATAATAAAAACAAAAAAAAAACTGATTTATCTGTTTTTGCAAATAAACTCTGCTGTAATACATTTATTATTATTTATTTTAATTGATTATTTATAATTTTTGTTTACTTGTTTATTTTAATGCTTTAAAAAATGTATTAGTTTAGTCTAAGTATTTATGTATTTTAAAATAACAGTTTTAAATATTCTTATTATACATTTATTTTTTTATATTATTTATTTTACATTAATGTTTTTTCTACTCACTATATTAGTGTACTGTTAAATGTATTATTTATTTATTTCAATCTAATTATTTAATGTATTCTTTTTTATTTATTTGTTTTAAGATACCTTTTGGATTTATTTTAGTATAATTATATTATTTTTTTATTAATTTGAATCTTGTTTATTTATTATACATTTATTATACATATTTTTACTCGCTATAAAAAAAGTTCAGTTAGGTAGCCTACATTTTTATATTTATTTTGTATTATTTATTGAAACTATTTATTTATTTACTTTTTGTTTATTTTACATTTATTTTTTCACTATACATTCTCTACTGTTAGATTGATTAATTGATTGTCATTATTCATTATTTTAATATCATTTTTAAATATGTTTGTTAATCTAACTATGTATTTATTTCAATATAACTGTATTATTTATATTTATTTATTTAAAACTTTTTTTTTTTTATGTGTTTATTTTTATATTCCACTGTCTTTCTCAGAACTTTGAAATCCCCTGATTGGTTCTCTTGATTGGTTCTCTTGATTGGTTCTCTTGATTGCAGTGGCGGATCTACCGGGGTGGCACGGGGTGGCATCTGCCACCCTAAGAAAAAGCTGTGCCACCCCAGAATTATCACAGAATAAAATATAAATGTAACCAGTGCTTTATGTGCTACTTTTCAGATGCGGCGATGACAGAATAACGCAAAATAATGGCAAAAGTCTTTTAATAGACTGTAACGGCCCAGTTGACTAACGAATTGTTTTTACATTTGTTCGTGAATCAGATAATTACTGCTTTTCAGCTAACTCGGAAGTCCTCTGAGAAATCTAATCCCGCCCGGATATGTCTGAGATTCATCGCGTAATTATTTGGTGATCCGATTCTCCGACTGCTCGCTCCACTTTCAGCATGGATATAAGCCGTGACAATAACATGAAATCAATAAGAAGATGCCGATCACGGAAACTAATAGCAGAGTTAGGTAAGAATCTAGTCGTATTGCAGTTTTCTCGATTGTTAGGGGAGCAGTTGGGGGTTCGGTGCCTTGCTCAAGGGCACCTCAGTCGTGGTATTGAAGGTACAGTAAACTGTAGCATATGTTGTACACCTTCAAGCGTGTGACTGCCAAATTTTGTTTGTAACCATTTTTTATGTGCACTGCATTTTTGCAGAACTGAGAAATGACTGCCTGATATAGCTAGTCTTGTGTCAGGAGAACAAGAAACTGCTATAGTACTGTATACTGTAATGAAATTTGGCAGACAAGATTATTTTACAGTAGTAAAATGAAAATGACTTTTTTTCCCAAAAGTTCATTGCTGAATTATAAATCTGTATCTGTAATTTAAATGTATGTATACTGTAAAAGACATTGAGCTGCAAAAATAATTCCTGAATCCTAGTAAGAGTTTTTTGTTACAGTGTTATTGATCTCAGATTTCACTGGGCAGGAAAGTCATCTGTGTGTTTGAATTGTGTGTAAGCAGTTGAAAAAAACGGTAAATTCTTAGACATACAATCTTCAAAAACCTGTAAGAAAAACTGTAATAACTAGATTGAAAAGTTTGAAAAACAAATTTATGCTGGCTTGTCTTAAAGTCTTGTTTTAAAAACGTAAATGGTTTGGTCAGTTAGATGTTCTAGATGTTTGCTAAAGTGTTTCTAGTTGGTTGCTAGGATATTCTGGGTGGTTGCTAGGCTCTTGCTATGCAGTTGCTAGAGTATGTGGTTGCTAGAGTTTGTTCTGGGTGACTACAAACATTCCCACCTCTGTTAATAACAGAAAATCAAACATTGTTTTCAAAACTGATCCAGTTTCATTGCTTTGATATTATTGTATTTCTTTCTAATGTCAGGAAATTCAAAAGTTTTTGTTGCTCTTAAACTTGCACTAAACGTGATTATACCATCTAAATAGCCTATGTAATTTTAATAGAACCGCATGTCTTCTTTTATACAAGCTCAGAAACATTTATAACCTGTTGAAGTTTTTTTATATTGTGTATTGACTTTTTTATTTTTTTATTTTTTTATTTTAAACAGTAGGCTATAGATGATTACTTAATGGTAATACAATATTTGTGAACACAACTGTGTATGTCAGACCATAAATCCCCAAAAACTATGCATGGGGGCTTGCTTTGGTGTTGCCACCCCTCATAGACCCTATGCCACCCCATCTGCCACGCTAAACATTATTTTCTAGATCCGCCCCTGCTTGATTGGTTCTCTTGATTGGTTCTCCTGATTGGTTCTCCTGATTGGTTCTCTTGATTGGTTCTCTTGATTGGTTCTCTTGATTGGTTCTCTTGATTGGTTCTCTTGATTGGTTCTCCTGATTGGTTCTCCTGATTGGTTCTCTTGATTGGTTCTCTTGATTGGTTCTCCTGATTAGTTCTCCTGATTGGTTCTCCTGATTAGTTCTCCTGATTGGTTCTCCTGATTGGTTCACTGATCAGAGACTGTGGTTTGTTCTCAGGTTCAGGAGTTTGACCACGGCGTTCTTCAGGGATGCGATGGGTTTCTTGCTCATGTTCGATCTGACGAGCCAGCAGAGCTTCCTCAACGTCAGGAACTGGATGAGTGAGTGACCGCAGACACACCGCTAACTAACTAACTAACTAACCAGCACTAACCAGATTAACAGACTCACTGTGGGCGCGGGTTTCTCAGTTACAGTGCTTCTTCTTCCTCTTTCTGTTTCTTTTCCTCTTCCTTTTCTTGCTCTTCTTCCTTTTTCTTTTTTGCTTCCTCTTCTTCTGTCTTCTTCTGCTTCTTTTTCTTTTTTCTTCTTCCTATTCTTCCTTTTCCTTCCCTCGTCCTCTTCTTTTTTTCTTCTTCTTCCTCTTTGTTTCTTTTCCTCTTCCTTTTCTTCTTTCTTCTTCCTATTCTTCCCTTTCCTTCCCTCTTTCTCTTCTTCTTTTTCCTCATCCTCTTCTTATTTCTTCTTCCTATTCTTCCTTTTCCTTCCCTCATCCTCTTATTTTTTCTTCGTCTTCCTGTTTATTTTCCTCTTCACTTTCTTCTGTCTTCTTCCACTTCCTCTTCCTCTTATTTTTTCTTCTTCTTCTTCTTTTCCTCTTCTTCGTCTTCTTTTTATGCTTTCTCTTAATTTTTCTTCTTCATCCTCTTCTTTTCCATATTCCTTTTTCCTTTTCCTTATGTTCCTCTTCCTTGTTCATCTTCCTAATCTTCATCCTCTTCTTCTTATTTTCCTGTGTGTGTGTGTGTGTGTGTGTGTGTGTGTGTGTGTGTGTTAAAAAAACATACAAAACGGTGTTTTATGAAATTCAAAAATTGCCCGTAGTTTTCTGTGAGGGGTAGGTTTAGGGGTAGGGTTGGTGTAGGGCGATAGAAAATACAGTTTGTACAGTATAAAAACTATTACGCCTATGGAGAAAACCACAAATGCGAGTGTGTGTGAGTGTGTGAGTGTGAGTGTGAGTGTGAGTGTGAGTGTGAGTGTGAGTGTGAGTGTGAGTGTGAGTGTGAGTGTGAGTGTGAGTGTGAGTGTGAGTGTGAGTGTGAGTGTGAGTGTGAGTGTGAGTGTGAGTGTGAGTGTGAGTGTGAGAGTGAGTGTGTGAGTGTGCACTTCCTGTTGTGTGTAAAGACTAATGACTGCTCGTCAGTGACTCTGTTCTCTGTTGTGTTATTGGATCAGTCTGAGCTTCATCTGCTGATGCTCTTCTAGAGTTTCTCTGTCATAAAAACTTCCATTCTTCTGCTTGGCCATATACAAATGCATCATAATTGTTTATTAGTTATTATACCATTCTTGTAGTTTAAGCAATAAATCATGGCACCAAGGTTATGGGTTCGATTCCCAAGTAATGCATCAACTGATGAAATGTATAGCTTGAATGCAAAGTTTCTTAGGCATCTGCCATTTTTTTTAAGAAAAATAAATATTAATAGTAAAATGGTAATTATTGCCTAAAATAGTAATTATGTGTGCATCTTATTTACTTACAGTATTTATTTAAATTATTCATCATTCTTATACAATTCATTTAAATGTACCACATTTAATTTGCTATGTACATATTCAAAACATAAAAACTAAATAAAAGTTAGTATAAAATATATTTATATATTCAAAATAATAGTGAGTTAAATTTTGGAACATGATAATGTTTTTATGCCTGGATTAATTTGAAGACGTAAAAGGTGGGGAAATAAAAAAAAAAAAATATATATGTGTATATATATATGTGTATATATATAAACGATTCTGTGTTTTTCTGTCAATATGGGGTGCTGTGTGTACATTAATGAGGAAAAAAAATTAACTTAAATGATTTTAGCAAATGGCTGCAATATAACAAAGAGTGAAAAATTGAAGGGGGTCTGAATACTTTCCGTACCCACTGTATATATATATATACACACACATAACAGTATATATATTTTTTGTACATTACAATGTACAGTATTATGCTATTAACATACTTTTTAATTTTTGTTTTTAAAATATTTATATTGATTTAGCATATAACAACCCATATTTCCGTTTTTGCTTGATTTTGTTTAATAAATTTCATATATCCATGTATGTGGATGTGTCATTATATAACTGCCCATGTATTGTTTGTATGTTTTTGAGAGAATCCAGGCTTCTTCTTCTGATGTTTGTCTTTGCCTCCTCTTTCCCAGAATTCCCTACTTCGAGACGAGTGCGGCGACCGGTGCGGAGGTGGAGAAGTCCGTGGTGACGCTGCTGGATCTGGTGATGAAGAGGATGGAGCAGTGTGTGGACAAACCTGCGGCGGACGCACACAACACTGACAGCAGCAGCAAACTGGACGCCGCAGCAGCCGACGAGAAGAAGTGTGCGTGTTAAAGCAGCGGGATCTCAGAGCATCCTCCTGACCTCCTGTATTACAGATGTGTGTGGACACCTCCGAGAGTCTGTGAGAGTCTGTGCTACTGCCGCGTCATCTTTAACAACCCGTCCAAATTTAGCCCAGATTATTACTGTCAGCAAATGCATCTGAAATATTCATATAGAGGTTTTAGCTCAGAAACTCACACTAAAAACCTGATGTGGCCATAATCTCGAGTTGGACACTCATCATCTAAATGAATGTACGTAAAAACAGAAATATCTGACATTCATACACTACCAGGCAGAAGTTTGGAATAATTATGAGATTTTAGTGTTTTTGAAAAAAAATCTCTTCTGCTCACCAAGGCTGCGTTTATTTGGTTAAAAATACAGTAAAAATGGTAAAAATGTGAAATATTATTATATTTTAAAACAGCTGTTTTCTATGTGAATATCTGCTAAACTGTAATGTATTTCTGTGATGCGCAGCTGTATTTTCAGCATCATTACTCCAGTCTTCAGTGTCACATGATCTTCAGAAATCACTCTAATATGCTGCTTTGCTGCTCAACAAACATTTCTGATTATTATCAATGTTGAACACAGTTGTGCTGCACAATATTTCTGTGGAAACTGATATACCATTCAAAAAGATTGGGGTAAGTAAAAAAGTATTAAAGAAAAAAAAACTTTTATTGAATAACATGCATTAAAAAAAGTGACAATAAAGACATTTATTTCTATTTCATTAAATGCTGTTCTTTTGAACTTTTCTATTCAAGTTTCCTTGGATAAAAGCCAAAATTGTTCTTGTATTTTACTTTTTTCCCCTTTATTTTGAAGTGCAGTAATATTATTATGTAAAATTTTAGTTTATTTCAAGAATATGTGTATATCTTTACATATATTATTCATTTAAATGTTGCAATTGCATTAGCTGTCATTTTTTGCATGTGTGTGTGTATATATATATATATATATATATATATATATACACACACTGTAAAAAAGGATGCTTTAAATTGCTCAAAAGGGACAGTAAAGACATTTATAATGTTACAAAATATTTCTGTTTCAAATAAATGCTGTTCTTTTGAACTTTCTACTCATCTGAAAAATAAAATGTATCAGTTTCCACAGTATTAGAGTGATGAAGACTGGAGTAATGATGCTGAAAATACAGCTGCGCATCACAGAAATCAATTACAGTTTAACATATTCACATAGAAAACAGCTGTTTTGAATTAGAATAATATTTCAGAATTTTTGCAGTATTGTTCATCAAATAAACACAGCTCTGGTGAGCAGGAGAGACATGGAAGCCTGCGCATGACTGACATGAGCTTGTGAATGTTTGGGCGTTTGTGTCGTGACGCTGCGGATGCTTGCGTGTTCATGCGTGTCCCCAAATCAAACTCCACTCACTTCCACGTCTCAATCCTGTTAGCTTGCGTTCAGAAGTGCAGATTCATGCAAACGAGTGCAAATGAATAGCTGCAGATCTGCGGTGTGTTTCTGTGTTTGTGAGCGGCTCCAGCACACGCTTCAGACTTCTGAACATCTGACAGAAATGCATAGCAAATGACGTGTCTTTAGTGCATCTATAACGACATGTGAATAATCCCGCCCACTCTAAAGCGGTACTGAACTGCAGTGGAAACGCAAACCGTGCCGAGCCGAACCATGCCGTGCCGTACCGAGCCGAGTCGTACCACGCAGTGGAAAAGCGCCATATGTGTGAGTACAGACTGAATAAACTGGGACACATCTAATATACAGGCAGATTAATGCAGATTATGTCTGTCTGATTTAAAAACACGTCAAGATCGTATTTCACCCTAAATTCAAAATCATTAGGATGTTTCACATTGTGACATTATATTCATGGCAATACAAAAAAGAAAAAATGCCAAATTCTCACTACTGTAAGTATATAAATGCTTTTCTTTAATTACTTTTTAATACATTTTTTATTTCTCGTGATTTTCAATGTCTCATTACTGTGATGCAGTATTTTATTTTATTTTTAGTTGCAGTAATGAAAATTTAGAGTTTTCTTATCATTAAATGTTGAAATTGTTGCATTGCAAACACATGCCGGTCCTGAGTTTGGGGTGAAATATAAAAAAAAATATCCAGCCATATTTCACCCTAAATTCAAAACCATTAAGATGTTTTGCATTAAAATCATTTTCATGACAGTTTACAAAAAATATATATTTTAACACCAAACTCTTATATGTAAATATTTTTTACTTTTTTTTTTAAATACAATTTTTTTTCAGTTTTCTTAATGAAAAATATATTATTATTTTTGGTCTTTTTGGGGTGAAATTTGACCTGGACGTCCTCTTGTACAAGCAAATGAATACAAATCACCTTCTGCTATGCTTTTTTTTAAATTGGTGAATATCATGAAAACGTTCACATTTCACCATAAATTCAAATCCATTGACATTATTTTCATTACAAATTCCAAAAAATTCCCTTTATTTTTCATTCTCAGTAATTCTCACTGCTGTTTTAAATTTTTTTTTAAATGTGACCCTGGACCTCAAAACCAGTCTTCAAGGGTCAATTTTTTGAAATTGAGATTTATGCATCATCTAAAAGCTGAATAAATAATCTTTCCATTGATGTATGGTTTATTATGATAGGACAATATTTGAAAATCTGGAATCTGAGGGTGCAAAAAAATCTAAATATTGAGAAAATCGTCTTTAAAGTTGTCCAAATGAAGTTTTTAGCAATGCATATTACTAATCATAAATTAAGTTTTAATATATTTATGGTAAGAAATTTACAAAATATCTTCATGGAACATGATCTTTACTTAATATCCTAATGATTTTTGGCATAAAAGAGAAATGTATAATTTTGACCCATACAATGTATTGTTGGCTATTGCTACAAATATACCCCAGCGACTTAAGACTGCTTTTGTGCTCCAGGGTCACAAATGTTTAAATCAGCAAAAAGGCAGCACAAGTATTATGGATGTATAAATCACAATTCATGGTTTTTTTTCTCTTTTCTTATTTTCCCCTCACATTTGTGAAATTACGATCCAAAAAAACCTTAAAATAGACTTCATTTTCTTACTGCATAATATGATGTCTCATTTTTTCTTGTGAGTTTGGGGTGAAATATGACCTGGTTTGGTTTATTTCTGTGCTGGTTTGAGTTTATTTTTGTCCTCTGGTGCCAAACTCATCGTGTGCCATTCTCGCGTCTTGGAGCCTCGTGACGCCGCTGACGGTGTGTTTGACGAATGAAGGCCGTCTCTGGAGCGCCGCATCGTGTTTCTACTGAACTCCTGCTTGGCCTTGAACTGAGCCGCGGCTCTCGCTTTGCTGTTTTACTGGTTTAGCACCTCGTGTGGTTTCAGGAATGGCTTTCTGACCAGTGATGTTGTTCTCTTGAAGGATTTTCTCTCCTCGTGCCTGTAAAGATCTACTGACCAATGAAACGCTGCTCCTGTAAGCTCTTTTACTGCATCACAGTATAGAATAAAACAGAAAACAACTAAATTAACTCTTCAGTTTCCTTTGAGAGCATTTATTTTTTGTTATGCGTGCAACATGTTACTAAAGAATAAAGAGGAAAAAATGATCTCGAGTTTGAATGGTCCATTTGTGAATGATGAATATACAGAATTCTCAATGCATTAAAAATTTATATTTCAAAATGCAAATAAAATGACCAAAAAATATTCACTAAAATATATGTAAATACATTTTCCATTAATTTACAGTATATTTTTTTATATATATTTTTTGAAAAATAGAGATAGATTTTAAAACAAAACCATATATCTCAAAGAAATCAATTTTTTTTACATTTTTGGAAAAATAAAAATCTATTCTGTAAGTCTATAGCCTATTTTAATTTAAATTTCATTAAATGAGCTTTTCCACAGTGTTTACCACTTCCTGTTTAATGCGGAGCTTCTCTGGATCCGGTCTCTCTCTCTCTCTCTCTCTCTCGTAGACCTGGACTCAAGTGGTTTGTGTGATCTGTTTTGGTTTGAAGTCTTTGATATTTGAGGGGAAACAGCAGGTTTACATTGGGTTTTGTCAGTTTTAGCTGCGGTTAGGTCTGGTCCTGTCACACCTGAGAGATCTGCTTCTCTGTGGGTTTGGATTGGCTCTGTTGCTGCTCTTCCTCATCATCATCATCCTCTTCACTCAGGTTCAGCTTCAGGCTTTCCAGAGTTTGTCTCGACTCTTTCCTCCTGCAGGACAAATGAACAAAAAACTATATTAGATCAACATGAACATTAACCTAGAAATACATGCTTGATATTAAAGATCATTAGACTTCATAGCTTCATGCAAATGCAGTCTAGAATAATTATATATGTATTATTGTTATAAAAAATGCATGATATGATAAAAACTGATATATATATTTATGTATATACTTGTTTAATATATAAATATGGTTTATATATTAACACAAATATTTATAATTACAATAAAATACATTTAAACAAATATTTATTTCAAAAATGTAATTTATATTAACACAAAATAATATGATGTATTCTAGGGCTTTCGAATGATTAATCGCAATTCATTGCATCCAAAATAAAAGTTTGTGTTTACATAATATATGTGTAAGAAATCAATTTTTTTTACATTTTTGGAAAAATAAAAATCTATTCTGTAAGTCTATAGCCTATTTTAATTTAAATTTCATTAAATTTCTAAAATATATTTCATTAAGCTTCATTGATTATAACATGTTTAGCATACGATTAAAATATAGAAAAATAAAATAAAATAAAAATATATTCATGTAAATATATATATAGATTTTGGTTTTAAAAACCAAAACCATATATTTTATTGCAATTTTTTTGAGAAATATAAGTTTTGAAATATATACATTTTAAAATATAATACTAAATGAAGGTTGAAACTTATATTTTTTAATTACACGATATATTAAATTGAGCTTTAATGTGTATAACACATATTTAGCATATATTTAAATATATATTTTGGCCAGGAAAAAAAGGGTCGTATGGGTCAAAAACAGCCCAAATTTGTCTTTTGTCTGTAATTTACCATCACTGTGCCTGTAAATATGAAAATGAAAACGTCAACATGTTTTTCACATCCATAAGAGTGAAAATGAGTTAATCTGAAGTCGTTAAATTTTTTTAAACTTTAAATTTTAAATTAATTTTAAAATACCATTAAAATGCTTGAATTTTCTCAGAAATTATTTCTAGCAATTCTGACTTGTATTCTCTTACCTGTGAGACATAAACTAAGAAGAGTACGTGTGTGTGTGTGTGTGTGTGTGTGTGTGTGTGTGTGAGTGAGTGCGTGTGCGAGTGTGTGTGTGAGTGAGTATGTTTGCATGTGTGTGTGAGTGTGAGTGTGTGTGTGTGTGTGAGACGCACTTGTTGTGCAGCTGTTGGTCCAGCAGTTGTCTCTGCAGGCGGCTGTTAGTTTCTCTCTCCTCCATCAGTTCTCTGTGTGTGTGTCGGTGCTGGACGTCTCGTCGACTTGCCTCTTCCTCGGCCTCGTTCAGCTGCCGCTTTAGTGAACGGATGCGCTGATTCATCTGAACACACACACAATAAAAAAAAAAATAAGTAAAATTTATATAGCACCTTTCACAGACAAGGAGTCACAAAGTGCTTTATAATAAAAATAAAATCAAACAAATTAAATACCAGCTGTTCTAATACTACATAAATTGAATAACCAACCATATTGTTACAAATTATACAAATTACACTTCTTAAATAATAAATATGTATTTTTCAATTCAACACAATTCAAACTTTTTTTCTTGTAATTGCATGTTTATAGCTTACAATTTACATTTGTGAGAGATAAACTCAGAGTCATAACTGTGAATTTTTATGATTATTAATTATCTATTTATTTTAATTCTGTGGAGGGAACAAGTTCCCCAATGATGTTTAATACTAAGTTTTGTGGTTTTGTTCAAACCACTAACACTACCTCTGAGAACAGCACTACTAAATTTTTCTCCGTTTAAAAAAAAAAAAAAACCACCGAAACAAATGTGGGTATAAATCCCTGAGATCACATTGAAAATCTTGGATTGAAAATATTAATTTCTATTTATTTCCAGCTTTAAATAAGAGATATTTCAGAATGTTTCAATGTGCAGTAATTATACGCGAGTGAAAGAGTTTGGTTTAGTTTTTTTGTTGAATTCTCAAATTCATTATTTTCCAGTTTTTCACTCTTAATTCGTTTGATGAGTGTGTGTGATGTGATGTCGTGTCTCCCTCTGCTGGTGTGGATGTGTAATCTTCATCATACCAGCTCTCTCTGTTCGGTGGAGATCTTGTGCTCCTCCTCCATCTGCTCCATCAGCTCGTGGATCTTCTTCTCCAGTTTGCTGATGGTGTTGTTCATCACCACTTTATTCCTGAGGAGAATCACAGCCAACCCATCATTCAGACTTACTGCAAACTGTTATTAGATGAAGTATTATTAGATATTATACTGATGAAGCGTGTGTGTCTGACCTCTCCTCGGCGCGCAGTGTGTTCTCCAGTTCTTTGGCTTTAATCTCGGCTCTGGTGATTGAGTCCACCTCCACTCTGTTATTCTGCAGCTCCTCCATCTCTCTGCGCAGATCCCGCAGCTGAACACACCATCAGCATCAGCATCAGCATCATTACAGCAGATACACTCATGAGTAACCAGTGTTGGGAAAGTTACTTTGGAAATCTAATAGGTTACAGATTACAAGTTACCCTGTCTAAAATGTAATAAGTAGTGCAACTATTTCAATTACTCTGTTAAAGTAATGTAACTGATTACATATGATTACTTTTCTAAATTTATAATGTTTTCAATTTTCAAACATTTAAAGCAGGCAGGGTTAACCTTACAGTAGTATTCAACACTGATTGTTACTGTCACTTTCGAAATCCTTTATCCCTTGAATTAAGATTATAATCATTTAATTTTAAAGCACAGCCACTACAAAATCTTTTCACTTACTTTGAGATCATTCTGAGGTTAAATATAGATTTAAAACCATAACAACAGACACACACACACACACACACACACACACACACACACACACACACACACACACACAGACACAGACAGACACAGACAACACACAGACACAGACAGATGACGCACACAGACACAGACAAACACACAGACAGACAGACAGACACAGACGACACACAGACACACACACAGGCACAGACACAGACACACACACACACAGACAGACACAGACACAGACACAGACAACACAGACACAGACAGACAGATGACACACAGACACAGACAGACACAGACGACACACACACACACACACACACACACACACACACACACACACACAGATGACGCACACAGACACACACACACACACACACCTGTCTATCCAGGATGGCCTTCTCACACTCCAGCTGATCGTTGAGATTTTTCTCCTGGATGAGCTTGATATGCAGCTGCTCCGACTGACAGAAACACACAAACACTCACACATCAACTACAACTACAACCAGACAGCAACACTTTCTCATTATGGGAAATAAAATACACATCAACTAAATTAAGATAAAAACTTATTTTATTTCTCATTTTCATTTAGTTTAACTTGATGTACTCAAAACAACTAAAACGAATCTAATAAAAATAACAAAAATGCACAACAAAATTACTAAAACTTGAACTAACATTAAAATAAAAACTAAATATAAAATTTAAATGCCATATATTAATAAATACTATACTAATGTCTTAGTGAATCTTATACATTTTTTCCCAAATTCTGTTTTTTTTTTCTTTTTCTTTTTAATATTACTTTTTTTCCATTTGATTTTTCTTAGATTCTGTTTTGATAGTTACATTAAATTTTCAATAACTGACTGAAACAAATCTTATTTAAATCATGAAACGTATACAATTTAACAACATTTTATTAAACTTTAACAAAAATGTATTTTTGGGCCCTATAAAATCAGTTTTATTTTTTCCCAAATTCTGTGTTTTCTGTTTTGATTTTTGTAGAATTTGGTTTAACTGTTTATTTAATTTTAATAATAAAAAACTGCAAAAAAAACTGCGAAACCAATTCAATTCATAAAACTCTCAACAGTTTAATAATTTATTAAAATGTTTACAATAATAGTAAACAAAATATTAATACAAAATGTTATTTTTTTAGTAGTTTTGATGTTGTCTGTTTCTGGATTTACAATTGAATAAATATTTATCAAAAATGGCAGTAATGAAATAAAGCCATGAAACGAAGGATTTAATTCATCTTTTAAAATGCGATATAATTAAAATGTAATTTTTTTGTTATTTCTGGAACAATAGCCGTTTACTGTTAACATACAAACATGGAACAAACTGTGATAACTAAAAAATAATTTATTATAATTACTATATTATTATTATTATATATTATTAATTATTATTATATTATACTTTGAGAAGTAATACTAATAATAATAGTTATACTAAGCTTATATTGTCCTGTAAACTCCATTTTTCTGTCTGGATTCTGTGATTTTGTCCAGGTTTTTTTTCATCGCTGCTGCTGCTGTGAGGCTCAGACTGAACATGAACCGTGTTACAGCGGTCTAAAGCGGTTTTTGGTGGTTTCTGACCTGATCCAGAGCTCGCTTGTGTTTGGACGCCCATCGCTGCTCGTTCTCCTGCAGCTCCTCTAGATCTGCCTCCAGATCGATGATCTTCTCCTGAAACACACACAGATGCGTGCGCTTGTCAGTGGTGCTCGTGTGTGTGTGTGTGTGTGTCTGTGGAGGTGTGTGTGACGTCAGCGCTGTACCTGAGCCACCTTGAGCTGTTTGGAGAGCTCGTCTCTGGACTGTCCCAGCGTCTGCAGCTCCATGCGCAGATCCTCCACCGTCCTCTCGGCTTGTTTGCACTGCAGCTGCACACGCTCCCGCAGCTGGATCTCCTCCTCCAGCGTCTGCTCCTTATCACTCAGCTTACCTGACACCTGACACACACACACACACATACACACACACACACACACGACGATGCAGCTCAGTGGTACATCATGGTTAGATGAACCGTGATGAAATATATATCTGACACAAAGAAACACATTCCACATTGTGAAGATTACAGTTTTTCTTTTGTACATTTGAAAGAATATCTGTTAAACTGTAATTTATTTCTGTGATCAAAGCTGAATTGCTGAGAAACATTTCTGATTATTATCATTGTTGAAAACCGTTGTGCTGCACAATATTTTTGATTATACATTTGATTTTTCAGGATTCACAGATGATTAGAAAGTTCAAAAGAGCAGCGTTTATTTGAAACAGAAATGTTTTGTAACATTATAAATGTCTGTACTGGCACTTCTGATCAATTGAATGCATCCTTGCCGAATAACAGTATTGATTTCTTTGATAGAGCGATATGAATGTGTATTAATGGGACCTCTCCCTGCAGTCTGCTGACGATCTGTGTGAGGCGCAGCAGCTCCTGGTCTTTCTCCAGCACGCTCTCCTCCAGCTCCTCCATCCGCAGCTGACC